TAAAAACAAAAAAAAGTTTCATTAACTACAAAAAAAAATTATTTTAATAAAAAATAAATAAAACGACTTAGTTTACACCGCTATCCTAGCTCTCCTCTTCTTTTTCTTTTTCGTTTTCCCGCTCTTTCTAATTCCCTCCTTTCTTTCCCCCCCCCTTTTGTTTCTCACTCATGATCTCAAATCCCCAATCCCCAACCCCTTAACCAAAAGAAGAAAGAGTAGAGACAGAGGAACACCGACCTGACCTAGCAAAACTAGCCGACCTGTGTGCTGCTGCTGAGTGTCGACCTGGGTGCCACCGCTGACCACCAACGTGGGTGCTGCTATTGACCATCGACCTAGTTGACCACCCACGACCACCAAAAATCTCCGTATGTCGTTCTCTATCTGTGAATCGCCAACCACCGAAAATCTCCCTTTATCGTTCTCCCTTTGTCTTCAACTCTTTGCATAGGTCTATTTTTCTCTTCAACTCCCTTTTCTGTAATATGTATATGTGTGTATATATATATATATATTGAAGCCTATGAAATGTTGGAATATAAGTCCCTCCATTTTATGCTTTGAAGGTGTTCGATGATTTGCTGGTGTTGAAATGATGAATTAATGATCTGGGATAGTTAATGTTTACAAAGATCCTAAATTTTGAACTCGGTATAAAGAATTTCCATGACAGAAATAATGAAGGAACTTGAATCAATATTTATGTTAAAAGAATTTGAATCAAAATTTATGTTAAAAAAGATTTTTTTATTTTATTTTTATTTTTATTATGTTTCTTAGGGAAATCAAGTTCTATAGTTTATTTATTTATTTATTTTTGATCTTCATAATCTTTAAATTAAGAACTGGGTTAATTTACATGTGTGCAATATATATTTAAATATATATATATGTACAACCGGCAGTGTGTGAGTCTCTCTCTCTCTTTCTCTCTCTCTCTCTCTCTCTCTCTCTCTCTCTCTCTCCATATATATATGTATATCAGATTTTAATGGAAGAAGTTCGTGCCCTATTTTCCCCCCTAATGTTTCTTCACTAATTTTGCCATAATTTTTGTGCCCAATGGACTACAAGATTTACTATTCTTAGTCTTGAATTCAATTCACACAGTTTATTTAGAAAATGATTAATGAAGTGCAAACAAATAATTTAAATTGTTGTTTTTGTTAAAGAACATTAAGAGAGAAAAGATAGAATAAGAAAAATAAGAAGAGAAACTATTTGTTTTTTTTTTTTGGTGTGGTTGAATTAGAAAAGTCTCTAATTTTTTTGCTTTGATGGAAATCTATAATTTTTGTTGTGCTCTAATTTCCGAAAACATATTATTTGCAAATATGGGTGATTGTGGATTTATATATTTCCGGATTTGAAAAAAGAAAATATTCAATCTCAATCACAAGCGCTTGATAAATGTTTTGGTAGCAAGAAACAAACCTACAATTTGTAAAATTTGTAATTTTAGTTTATAATTTTAGTGATTATATGTGCAAGTAAACTTTTTGTGGCTACTAACAAATAAAAAAATTGTTATTACTTCTTGTTTTATCCATTAACTTTAAATAAATAAATATATATATATATATATATATGTAAGAGGGCCCCCTTTTTGTTGTTTGCCTAACGCCCCCTAAATCTCAATGCCGGCCCTGATGCGTTTGTTCTGGTTAGCCTATTTTTTCTCTAATTATTTGTTCTGGTTAGCGAAGAACCACATGTTCTGCGTATTGCGATTGTTTGTTATGTTTTCAATATCTTTTCTTTTCTTCTCTTTTTTTTCACAGGCCAAGTGATGACTTATACATCAAATTATGTCATTGGGTCTTTTTTTTTAACCTTAATCAGTTTGACATTGCTATTTTATTTTACTTGATTTGGGATGAGTTCCCACCATGTGAGAATGAGAGATGTGGATACCTATGTGTTGAAAACTTAATTTCCTTGTGCTTTTTTTTTTTTTTTTGCCTTGTGAGATGTTAGTAATGGTCCATTTCAGACAAATATTTTTCCCTTGCTAGTTAAAGAAATGAATGTATTCTGTCCTTGAGCAGGAGCATCCACACACAGGTAGTGTGGAATTCTTGACGTAAATATTCCCTCACATGTGATTTGTGCAAGATTCATAATTCTAGAAAAATCTATAGACAGTGAGGTGCTCCATTTCACGTGATTAGAATAAGGGGCATTAGTAATATTGTGGCTTTTACTGTGAGTCAGTGCTCTTAATGAATCACTCTGCCACTTTTCTTCTCCATTATGGGTTTTGCCATTTGGTAACGTGCCATGTGTCATTGTGGGATTTTTTCTTTTTTAAACATCATTTGTAGGATCAAACCCTTCATCTCACATGTTCTTTTAAATATATATTGCACATCATGTGTCATTATGTTTCTTTATTTTTAATATTGTGAAACATGTTTATGATCAAGCTTCTTTTAGTCTCTTACTAGAATTGATGCACACATGATACACGTAATCACCACTCATATATATATTGCTAACCCACTGCACTGTGGCAAGGTTAGTATTGTCCAACAATTACCAAACCTACAGCGACAAAACCCTTGGGGGAAAAAAGTTGTTTCCTCAAATATTTGTTCCCTCAAGCAACTCGTCAATGTGGTGATTCATGGGTAATAATAATGCCTGTATCTGTTGGTAGTGTGGCAAGTGTCATAAACTTTTTACACAATAATTTTAGTCAAATATTAATCCTGAGGTTCTTTAACACAAGCAACCATAATTTACATGCACAAACTCCAAATTTTTATATTCAGATGACTCTAATTAAAACAAAGGAAATTCCATAAAGCTCAACATTTTATTTTGAATTTCCTATTACCCCTTTTATTTTAATTAATTATTCTCATATAATCATTTCTATTTGTAGAGGGCAGGTTGAACCAAATTTGATATTAGTGGAAAGGCATGGGAATGGCACCTCAAAGAGGTAGTTTGTATTTTTCTCTTCCTTTGTTGCTCATTCTGTCTTAGAAAAGTCAAATTTATATTTCACATTGAAAGCAAAGATAGATACTTGTGAAATGCTAGATACTTGTATATAGGTCTAGAGGTTTACATTTTGTTGTGCAGCACATAGCTCCGTCTAGGATATATCTACACCTTTATGTGTACAAACATAATATATGCATATATGCCAATTAATTGAAGGATGATGAACTTTTGTATAGATACTAGAAGGCTGACATTTCTTTGAATGTGTCATAACTTATTTCCATTGCTTAATTTTCTTAGAAATGCATCTATTCTCATTGTTGATTGAGATGTTTAATTATCCATATGGAATTTGATGACTAACAAAAAAAATGTTGTATTTGATGTTGTTGGGAGTTAGAGCCAGATTTCAGATATAATTTTTATGTTTTTTTGTATTTGATGCTATAGTAGTTAAATTTTTATTTTTCTATTTGATTGAGATGTTTAATTATCCATGTAGGATTTGATGACTAATAAAAAAAATGTTGTATTTGATGCTATAGTAGTTAAATTTTTATGTTTTTTTGTAATTAACATTAACACATAATTATATTGTCATTAATTATTTTTATTTTTATTTTTCAGATATTTCCCATATAGGAGTGTGCTTCTTGTGGAATGCATGCCTGTGGAGAATGTGGCTAACTTTTGTTTTTGTTATCTACAAAGAATGATGAGAAAAATATTTAATTTTGGTTTATGTTATTTTGAATTATGAACAAAATCATGTATTTAAACATTATATATGTATTATGGAACATTATGTAGTGGGATAATTTTGTTGATGTGTAATTATGAATGGAAGAATATTTTATTGTGGAGAAATTGTTATTTTTATACAGGAATGTTTATATTATTATGCAATTATTATGGAGAAATTTTAATATTTTTAATAATTTTATCGCAAGATGTTTTTTTCTTTTTTGTGACGGCACTACACCGTCGCAAAAAAACAGAAAATTTTAATATTTTTATTGATTTTGTTACAGGTTTTACTTTTTGCGATGGCACTAAACTGTCGGAAAAAATAGAAATTTTATTATCTAAAATAGAAATTTTATTAATTTTTTAATACTTTTTGCGACGGCACCACACCGTCGCAAAAACAGTGTTCTTGCCGTTGCAAAAAAAAAAAAAGACTATTAGCGACGGCATTTTTTGCCGTCTCAAATAATATTTTTAGCGACGGTGAAATAGTGCCGTCACAAAAAGTCAAGAAATTTCAAACATTATTAGCGACTGCAAAGTGCCGTCGCAAAAGGCAAAAATGCCGTCGCAAAACATGTGCCGTTACAAAAACTCTTTTGCAACGCCCCCAGTTGCGACCCCCCCTCTTGCCGTCGCAAAAAATCATTTGCCGTCGCAAAAAGTTTTTTGCGATGGCATTAGGAGATTAGTGACGGCATTTTACCGTCGCAAAAAACTGAAATTTTAGTAGTGATAATATGTAAATTATTGTAACTAATACTATTATAGTAAATGGTGTTTTTGAAATCGTAAGGGGGTGATCGTCCTTTCTTACCCACCTCTGGCTCCATCCTTGAAAACAGTTATGATATATGACATCAACGCAAGAGCGGTGTTTGGTTGATAGATAGTACATATAACACTACTAGAAAATTGGCTTTTTGCGACTAATGTTTTTGCGACTGATTATTTGACCGTCGCAAAAACTAATATTTGCAATAGCACCCTCCTTTTATTATACCTATGCCCTAACAGAGACTGATTTCGCCTGGACTCTCATTTCCCCCAAATTTGATTTCGCTCGATCGTGTGTGAGTAAGAGAATCTGATTTCCCTCTCTCGATTTCCCTCTATAGATCACAATGGTCGTCTGAAGAAGTGACCTCCAACGGTATGAACTCTCTCTCTCTCTCTCTCTCTCTCTCTCTCGTCTCAGTGAGTCTCTTCGAATCATTCATGCGTATTTCAACTTCTTTGTCTCTCTACTTCGATCACTTGTTTCTTATCATCTGAACTCACTGTAGTCGCAACCGTAGATCACCTTTCGACGAAGCTTTGGTTTGAATCAATCCTTCCTCATCTGCTACAGGTACAAACTGAACCATTCAATTCTTAATTGTGTATGTTCTGTGCTGCGAAAATGATGAACTTGCTCTGAACTTGCTTGATTTCAGTTCTGAATTCGAATTATTATTATTATTTTTTGTCATGTTAGATTGGAGCATGTGTAACATCAGCTAATCTGGATTTGAAAGTTAGATCAAGGAGATATAAATAATTGTGTATTTTTTACGAAGCTTTTATAGATTCGGACCTTATAGCATTCAATAAATAATTGTGTATTTTCTGTCATTAATTGTGTATTTGATTTCAGTTCTGTGCTGCGAAAATGATGAATGTGTATTTTTTATATCCAAATTTCTGTCATCTCTTATGTAATTTGCTTGAAAATAGATTCAGACCTTATAGTGTTCAATAAATAACAAAATCGAATAGATAATTAAATACAATGTCACGTCTGCCACTGTTTTTATTTTTATTTTTTTATTTTTGGATTAAATTGTTCAATTTCATGAAAAGAAAAAAAAAATCAACTGCAAGAAGCTTAATATGAAATGCTATAAATGTTATAAATACTCTCTGTTTATCTGTATATTACGAAAGGAACCGTAATATGATTTTTTTTTTCAAGAAATAAATATGCTAAACTATTGATGTATTGTTCTGTGGCACTTGGAGGCCATTGTTTATCTGTATATATGATATGATTTTACTTTCAATTGTTAATGCTCTGCTTATTGGTGAAATTCATATGATGGAGCAGATGTGTATCGCTTGGTTATCATCCTTCTGAACAGTGGCTGCTCAAAATCATTCTCTTTTTTTATTTTTTTCGACTTTGCTGTTTAGTAGTTGCTGTGTACTCAATCTGTTGGAAACATTTTAATCATATTACTCTAGAGGGTATAAGAAATTCTTTAATTCGACAAGAGGACAGCATCATATTTAGCCTCCTGGAGAGAGCTCAATATTGTTTCAATGTTGACACATATGACCCTAATGCTTTCTTCATGGATGGGTTCCACGGCTCGGTTGATTTCATGGTCAAAGAAACTGAAAAGCTTCATGCTCGGGTATGTTATGCCTTAATTTATGAAAGGAGGAAAATAGAATGATTTTATTTCTAGTTTCTGATTTATATGACTTACCAGATCCAATGCTGCCACCTTTGCAGTACCCTCAGGTAAGACAATAGATACAATGGTTTTAGTTAATTTACTTTGAGCCTGAATTATGATTGACATAGCTTGTAAGATAATGTGTAACATGCAAATTTATGAAGTTTGGATTGGAATATGGCAAACTTGGAGGGTGCTTGTTCATGACTTCTTGAGCTCAATTTAATTTGATGAAGTCAACCACATAGATTTGCTACATGCATGAAACTTTATCAAATCCAAGTGTAGAATGTAATCTTGATGTTAATTTAGTAAAATCTTGGTATCAACTATTACAATTGTTAAACTCTCTCTTTCTCACTATGCACTTGTTTGTGTTTGCAAATTTTTATGCCAGCCATCACTGACATAGCCCCTTGTTTTATATATTCAAATAGGTTCTTCATCCCATCGCTGATGCAATCAATATCAACAATAAAATATGGGATATGTATTTTAGGGATCTTCTTACAAGACTAGTCAGGGAAGGAGATGATGGTAACTACAGTTCAGCTGCAGTCTGTGACACAATTTGCTTGCAGGTATACATTTTTAACATATAATTAATCTCGATTAGTTTGAACTGTGAATTATTGGAACAGGAGATGATTTCACTGCAATAATGTACTGTGAGCTGCATTTTAATGCTTCTGAATGTGTGCTTGCTTTAACACACCTATTTGTAGATGATAATTTGTTTTTAATTTGATTTTGTCCATGAAGCTCATCATGTTAAATTTTCTACAAATGGTAAAGCAAGCAGCCTAAACTGAATATCCTACGTTGAATTATAGACAAGACATTTTCCCCATTGTAAAACAGTGAATGATCCATTTGCCGAGTATTAGTGACTGCCTACTGTTTTCACTAGTTACATTAATGATCCAACATTCTTTCTCATGATAGAAGTAAAGTAATTGATGGATTTGTTGCTTTTGTAGATATATGCTGACTAATTATATATATATATATATTAGCATAACGTTTTTCGATATGTATTTTATATATCCCAAAGCATGGCATTTAACGTAGTGTTGGGGATTAACCAATCATTCTAACTTGCAACTATTCCTTCTATGTATTGCTGTACTTTGTTTGCAGGCTCTCTCAAAGAGAATTCATTATGGTAAATTTGTAGCAGAGGCCAAATTTCGAGCTTCACCAGATGCATATGAAGCTGCCACTAGAGCACAAGTTTATATTTTATTTTTCAGATGCACTGGGTGCATCCAATCCTTTAGTATAACTTTTTCAAAACCTTGTGTGCTGAAACAGGTCATGATCACTTTGATTTTGTTAAATTGTGGTGCTTGTGATTTTGCAGGACAGGACTCGACTGATG